GATCACACATATTGTATCCATGAGGGCGAGGCTATCTAATGACCATCCATGGTGTGAGTTGAGTAAGTTCCTGAGGTTGAGGGCATCAGGAACCTATGATCACAGTGCCACAATGAGCGTGGCTAACATGCAGTGAGTGCACATGTGTGTGGATTATTTGATGGTGCAGTGAGTACACCTGTCTGTAAATTGATGCGATTTACTTCTATGTACAGTGAGCGTACCTGTGTAATGATGGATATGTACTTCATGTGAGTATGATTGTAATAACAATTTAAATTGTATTATATGATGAGTGGAGTAGGCAAGGTGAGTCTCTGTATTTGTGTGTAATAGTGTAGAGTACTCACACTTACTTTTATTTTTCAGGTGACCAAGACGATCAGTACTAGACTCAATGAACGGAGGGATGGAACTGCTATAGCACTTAGGAAACTAATTTTTGAAATTGATGTATTTAATTTGGTCCTGTAGCATTTATTTTATGCAAACTTGTAACTCTCCTTCATTTGAAATATTTTATTGAACCATGTATTGGGAACCATTTAAATGAAAGTTTTTATTATTCCGAAAAATTTGCAAAAAATAATTATTTGAAAAAATTAAATTAAGGTTTTACAACGGATGCGACTAGGACACATGTATTGAGACAATATGATACATGTATTATAACATACAGGTTAACATAGAAATGTATGTAGAAAGAGTGAATTGTTGTATATGCTTTGATTGATGGTTGTCTTGTTGTATGTGCTTTGATACGATGATTGTCAATGTAAGTTGTTTATTATTGGTAATGAGTTAGAATAGAATGTTAGGCCATAACTATAGTTTCATTTAAGATAATCTATAATAAAAGAGATTTAGTGGGGCAGGAAATACTCACCTTTACTGATATTTTTCAGGTAATGAAAGAAAAGAGATGGAGATGGTTGATCCGTTCTAGGGCCATACTCGTCAAGGATTGTGGGAAAAGAACTGCTCATATATAATTAATTTAATATAATAGATATATAAATCTATTTATGTATTTTTATTTCATTGATGGTGAAATTTTAATTTGGTAAATTTGATAAATTTGTCAAATTGTACAAGTTATTATGAATTTCTTAATTATATTTTCAATAATATAAATTATTAAAGAAAATTATTTTTATAAAAAAAGGATGTTACACACGAAGGCTTGCACGATAAGTAAGAGATAGATTTTTGAAAGCAACAAACATGAAAGCCTATAAGGTAAGTAGGTAGAAGTCTATCAGACGCCACGAGTATAAAGACCTATAAAATTAAGAAAACACATGGAAACCTATGAGATGAACTTATGTGAGGGATTAGTTGGCAAGTGAGTGAGGCCTGTAAGAACAAGCGTACTAACCTATGAGGTACAACAAGCTTACAAGTTCATAAGCATAAAGGTTAAAGGAATAAGCATAGAACTTATGTAAGAACGAAGGCTTACACAATAGGCAAGAGATGGATTTTTGAAAGCAACAAGCATGAAAGCCTATAAGGTGGGTAAGTAAGAGTCTATCAGATGCCACGAGTATAGAGACCTATTAGATTAAGAAAGCACGAGAACCTATGAGGTCTATGTAGAAGCATAAAGTTTGTAAGATGGAGAAGGTCTAGAGAATTAAAGTAAGCATGAGGACTTGACGTTAGAGCCTATGAAATTATAAGGTATGCAATCCTCTTAGGTGAACAAGTGCAGGCATGATGACTTATGAAAAGCTTATGAGTTGTAGCCGGCATGAAAGTCTATGAAAAAAGCACGATATCTTATGAGACATAATAGGTATAAGGGCTTATGAGGTGAGTAGATGTGAGACATATTAAGTGGTTTAAGCATGAAAACTATTAGAACAAGCACGTTAACCTATGAGGTGTGCAATCTTAGGAGTGCATATGCACGAAAGCCTAATTAGGCATAGGTCCTATGTATGTGCAAAAAGGCCTACAAGACAAGGTATGGACTTATGAAAGTAGAAAGCATGAAAGCCTATAAAGTGTGTAAGTACAAAAGCTTGTGCGATGAAGAAGGCATGGAAACCTTTGAGATGAAGCAAGCACAAGGGCTTTGAGATTAGCCGACTTCAGAGCTTGTGAGATGAGATAGGCTTATGGGTCCATGAAATAAGATAGCCATAAGACCTATGAGTTGGGTAGGTATAGAATTATGTAAGATGAAGAATGCACGAGAATCTATTAGAAGAAGCAAGCATAAGAGCTTGAGATTAGTTGACATTATAGCTCATAAGATTAGATAGGCACATGGGACCTATGCAAGATAACAAATGTACAAGAATTTATGCAAAAAAACAAGCACAAGAGCGTGAGATTAGTTGACATCAAAGCTTATAAAATGATATGGGCTCATAAGCCCATGAAATGAGATAGCCATGGAACCTATGAGATGGGTAGGTACAGAAGTATGTAAGATGAAGAATGCACAAGAATCTACTAGAAGAAGCAAGCACAAGAACTTGAGATTAATTGACATCATAGCTCATGAGATGACAGAAGTGTATGAGATGAAGAATGCATAAGAACTTACGAGAAGAAGTAAGCACAAGATCTTAATATTAGTTGACATTAGAGCTCATAAGGCATATGGGCTTGTGAAATGAGATAGCCTAAGAACCTATAAGAAGCAAATATAAAAGCTTGAGATTAGTTGACATCAGAGCTCACAAGATGAGATAGATACATGGACTCGTGAAGTGAGATAGTCATGGATCTATGAAATAGGTATGTACAGAAGTGTATGAGATGAAAAATGCACAAGAACCTAATAGAAGAAGCAAGTACAGAAGCTTGAGATTAGTTAACATAGAGCTAATAAGGTGAGATAGGCACATGGGCCTATGAAATGAGATAGGCTTGGGACCTATAAGATGGGTATGTATCGAAGTCTGTGAAATAAAGAATGCACAAGAACCTATAAAGAGAAGCAAGCACCATAGCTTGAGATTAATTGACATCAGAGTTCATAAGATAAGATAGATACATGGACTTGTGAAATGCGATAGCCATGGATCTATGAGATGGGTATGTACAGAAATCTGTGAGATGAAGAATGCACAAGAACCTATGAGAAAAAACAAATACAGGAGCTTGAAATTAGTTGTCATCGTAGCTAATAAGATAAGATAGGCACATGGGCCCGTGAAATGGGATAACTATGGGACCTATGAGGTATGCAGGTATAGAAGTCTATCAGATAAAGAATGCATAAGAACTTATGAGAAGAAGCAAGCACAAGAGCTTTAAGATTAAGAAAGCATGACAACCTATGAAAGATAACATGTTATGAGATAAGAAATGTGAGGCTTGAGGTGTGGCAAGCACATGAGCCATTAAGAAGTAATAAGCATAAGGTGCTATGGAATGAAGTAGACACAAAGACCTTTCAACGGTTAAAAAAGAGTTATGAGATGGAACCAATAAGACGATCTCTAAACTAGGAGTAAATGGTGTCCTTAATAGGAAGTGGGCATAAGGGCTTGAACAACATGAACAAAGGCTTATGAGATGTGACTAGTAGGACGATCTTTGAACTAGGAGTCATTTGTGTGCTCAATCAGAAGTAGGCACAGGACTTGAACGACAAGAAATCTTATGATGTGCAACAAGTGTGAGTTTATGAAATGAATGTTTATCATATGCAAAAGCACAACAATGAAGCTAGAACTATAGGTGGTTGAGAAATCAAGATAATCTAAGCAATATGAAAGAGAATTCTAGCTAAATTAGTCTTCTAACTCTTTTTATATTTTATTTTAGACTTTCAATTTAAATGTAATCAAATAATTTATATCTATTAATTATATTTAACACCATTAATTACTATTTTTATCTTTTCTTTATTGTAATAATTGTCTTGACATCATTATCTTTTTTTTTTCTCTTTCTATTTGATTGATGTAGTTTAATGTAGTTATTTGAAAGTGACTTATTTTATTGACATTAAAAATTAGTTAATTAATTTTAAATTTAAAAAAATAAATTAAAAGAAAAAAATCAAATGACAAATAAAACTTATAAAAATAAATAGAAAATAAAAATAAAATAAAATTAGAAGACTAAAATACAGTGTCTTATTTGTACATACAATCTCAATTAGGTAACTACAATTCTAGACTTGTTTGTTTGACGAGTTACATATTTTAAATCTTAAAACTTGAACTTCATGAATTCTTCTTTTATTGTTGATGGTGATGGATTTATAACATTAAAATTATGTTTGAATATATTTTTATCATCATATTTTAGTTAAATTTTTATTTAATGTCTTGAAATGATATTTTTTATTTTAGTTAAGAATTTTCATGAACTTTTGTTTTTAGTTCTAATTGCTAATATGATCCACTAAAATATTATTAAATATCAACTAGATAGACCAAAAAAAAATAATTTACTTAAATATGTGGACCAAAATAAAAAAAATCATTTAAAGAGACAAAAATTAAAAATATATAAAATATAGTACTAAAAACATATTTAAATCCTAAAATTATCTCCTAAATTAAAACACATTGGAATCAATTTAATGAGGCAATAAAAGTAATATTTAATAGCATTTATATAATTTTTCTCACTTCAACTTCAAAAACTTTTTTTTTTGTGGATTGATTCTCTTAAATGTTATGATGTATATTGTCCCTTAAATATTTTAAATATTTTGAATTTTTTTAATTTATTGGAGATCTCATTGATCATATTTTGAAACACATAATAGCGGTGCAATAAAAATGACTCAAAAAATAAATCATGAGATCTACAAGAGAATAAAGAAGAGAACATTGGCCTTTTGCTATAAAAGATATGATTTCTAAAAAATATTAAAAGAAATATTAATGAAAGGTGTATTTCATTAAGAGTAAAACATATTTCAAGTCTACACCTACATAACATTAACATAATTGAAACCTAAAGCCTTAGTAAATAAAATAATAAAAAAAAAGTTGCATAGTTAAACCACATAATGTGGGGTACAATCACTTGCATCTACCTAAGCGCAACTCTAAATCAACTTCTCCAATAACACTAGCATTCATAGAAGTGTTTTCACCACCTGTCTGCATTTGGGACCCATACATGTCGGTCTTAGTGTTGCTACTAGCTTCTCCATTTGACAGGACCAATAAGAAAGAATCTTCCTCTGGAAAAAGCATGAGAGTTTGTTGAGACTTATTATCAATCATAGGCATGGAATTAGAGGGAGATGCACTCATCTTGTCTCTAGGCATGAGGCTATTTGTAAAGAAGGTTTGTTTCCTTGTACAATAGTCCTCATGATGTGCGGATGGTAGGTTTGTGAAGAAGCTAGTAGCATAACTTTGAATTTCTTGTGCTGTTTTGTTCGGTAAAAAGTGTTTAGCAATTTCACTCCAATGCCCTCTTCCATACTTGATGATTCCCCTTAGAAATAACCTAAAATCAAAATAAAATATATATAATAAATTAATGTTGTAGAAAATTAAAAAAGTAGTTACAGAAACACCACCTAATGATAATTATTAAATGTTGATTTTCTTTACCACTATTCTTTACTTTCACCATAAAGGTGAAAAAAGAAGTGGAGTAAAAATTAATTAAAAAATTAATTGGATTAAGTTTTGAAGGACACAAACTCATGCTCTGTTTGACTCCAAAGCTCATTGAGCCTAGCTCCTTGAGGAAATAGGTATGTGTTTGATTCAGGTACAGGTGCAGGTACAGTAGCAATCCTTTCATCATGAACGCCTAGTTGAAACCTAGAAGCAATATGAGATGGCTCATAGGTATATTTCAAGGATGAACATGGAGTAGTTTGTTGCTGGCTACAGCGATGTGAGTTGGATTTTGCACAAGCCCTTGAGGATATAGGATTTTTCTTAAATTGATATTTTTTAACAGAAATATCAGCAAATTTGAGAACTTTTGTTGTATTAGATGACCTAGGTGGTGATGGAGGTGCATCTGTAAGATCAATTATGTCAACCATCATTGTTGAATAAATTACAGAGAAAGGGAGAGAGAATAGCTAAGTGTTGAAAGATGGAATTGCTTGCTCTTGTTTTATAGGCTCAGAGGCTACTTTTCATTTAATAAAATATGTAAAAAAAAATTCATCAATTACGTTTTTTTAAAATACTTCTACCTACCCAAAATGGCTAATGCCCACACCTTTTTCATTATATAGTTTAAAAACTAATAATATAATAATATTGCTAATATATATTACATACAAAGATTTGAATATATTCAACAATAAAGATTATATCCTTACTTAGAGTACATAGAAACTATTTATTAAAACTATCAACATAAAAGGCATATTTTAAAATCTTATTTAGTTAAGAAAATTCTTAGTTTTACTTGATTTGAAAAATCCTTAAATTTTAAAGGGATCATATATTAATAAATTTAATGTAATTATAATAAGAAAAAAATTAAAAGTGATAAAAATGAAGCTTAAATGAACCAGGATAAATAGTGAACTCAATGTTATAAGAATGTGAAAATAGGTACATCATTTTCCTTTTACTTCCACTACTTTATACATCACCATTATCATTACAATCATTTTTAGAATTTCATACAAAGTAAATTTTTATACCTTTTATTATTTTTCATAACTACTCTCCTTTTTGTCGACATAACTTTTGTCAATGAGATTGAAAGTTTCATGTTATATACAAAATTAACTTATTATCACAAGTGAATTATTTTTTAATCACCAAACTCCACTAAAGTTAATTGAATTATGAAATTTTTCTTAATTCATTTATGAATTTATTTATTTTGATGATGTTATTCATTTATTGGATGCCTGAGTCTCGGCAATGCTTTATGGTTGATGATGTTATCCATATTTATTAGCTTCCAGAATCTCTTCAATTTTATGTTTTGATAAAGTTATTGATATTTAACCATTACTTATGAATTTATTTATTCTGATGATATTATTCATTTATTGGATGCCGGAGTCTCGGCAATGCTTTATGGTTGATGATGTTATCCATATTTATTAGTTTCCGTAATCTCTTATACTACTGCTATGCTTTATGGTTGATGATGATATCCATATTTATTAGTTTCCAGAATCTCTCTACTGCTACTGCTACTTGTCGCAACTAGAGTCACGACAAGACGACGACCGTATACAGAAAAGAAAGAATTGTAGAAAAGGGTTGGAATTAGTTTTTTTTAAGTAAAAAACAATTGATAACAGGGAGCCGCCACCAAAATTTATCAAAGAAAATATTGAAAAAACTTAAAAAATATTCTTAGAAATTATATTTAAACTCAGAAGTCGTTTACGTGTAAAGAATATATTAGCATCCTACGATGTTCGTTGATTAAAACAGTTATCTTCTAATTAATTGTGCAAAAATTATTTTAACTTTAAAAATATTTATTTCACTCTAAAAGAAAATAATTAATATTTTTTACTGTTTTCAAATTTGTTTTATTATTACTTTTTAGATTTAATTCAAATTTCTACAATTTTTCAGAGATTTTAATTTTATCCTTTAAAATAGAAAAACAAAATAAAAGATTATTTGAATTAAAGGAATGAGTTATTTATAAAAATTTTATTCTTTTTTTTATTCTCGTATTAAATAAATTTAAATAAAATATGACAATTTTTTTTATTTCTTAAAGTAAAAATTTGTTTTTTATATTTTCTATGTTTAAATAAGGAACTAAAAAATTTAATATTAATTGGAAAAGTGGATTATTTATAAAATATTATTCTTTTTTTTAATTTTCATATTAAATAAATTTGAACAAAATTCAACTTGATTTTTTATTTTTTAAGTAAATTTTTATATTTTTTTTAAATAAAGAAACATAGTTAAAGAAAAAATAAATAATTTGAATTGAGTGAGAGAATAAGTTATAGAATGTTATGGCCCTCTTTTTTTTATATTAAAGAAAAATAATCTTAAAACATTTTATCTTAATGTTTTATTTATTTATCCTTTTTTTTAAATGAACACAACAATTTTATTTTTTTTATAATTATTTTAAATTACTTTTAGTTTAAAATTTTCTTAAAATATTTAGACCTGAAAAAAATTTAAAAATTTTGTAGACTTAACAGGTCAAGTTTCCGCTTTTACGTATCTTCTATATGCAACGAAAAAATTAAAGTTGTCACGTAATTCTTTTTTTAAAATTGAGTTTTGGATTAGTTTCAAATATTTTCTTCCTTTTTTAAACAAAAAACTTAATTTTTCTTTGTCATTATTTTTAGTAAATCTACTCTTACAACACACGACTACTCAATAAACCCTTACGATCCAAGCAAAGTGGAAGGTGGATCCTCCACTCTATCAAAATCGTTTGGCCGTTGAGTGGATTCAAAATATTCTTTTTTTTTAAAATAATAAAAAATTAATGTACCTTTTAATACAAAATTTTTGCACGCAAAAAAGAAATAAATGAGAGATATATAGAATAAATAAACAAATACAAGAGTAAACAAAAATGATGAGGAAATAACTCCTATTTCATTTAGGAATTAAGTTTTTTTCTTAGGTTAGGATTTGCAAAGAAATTAGGATTTTTAGAATTTATGAAAAAAAAAGAGTTTTTAAGATTTGGAAAAATTAAATTTTTATAATTTGCAAAATTGTTTGGGTTGAAAAAAAAATAGCTTGTTTTAGAGCTTGCAAAAACCTGAATTATTTTGGGGTTAGAAAAAATATATTATTTTTAGGGTTTGCAAAAAAATTTAGAGTTTGAAAAAATTAGTTCTTTTTAGGGTTTGCAAAAAAAGAAATATTTGGAGTTGTAAAAAGAATTTTTCATGGATTTGGATTTTATTTTTTTTTTAGGGTTTGACTGAGGGAGAAGAAATTTAGAGTTAGAAAAAATGATTAGAATTTATAGAATTTTTTTAAATGAAATTTTATTGAATTTTCTCTTTTTATTTATTTATTACACTTGCAAAAAGTGTTAAATCATGAAGAAGAAGAGAAGAACATATAAAATAAATAAACAAAGAAGGAGAATCCTCAATTAACAGAGAGGATGAGAAACAAATAAAGAAAGAGAATCTTTATTAGATAAAGGGAGGATGAGAAGCAAACCAATGAATAAAAAGAAGAACACTTACTTGATGAAAGTTTTTCTTTTTCCCTCACGATTGGATCTCTCTTTCGATTTGTTCTCTGTAATCTACCTCAAGATATGCTTTAAGAGTTTTGGTGTTGTCAGATAGCTTTCTCTGATCCCTTCTCCTTCTTTTGCTCTTTATTTCTCGGGCTCTCTCTCAAAGAGATTTCAATTCTCTCTTTTTTTTTTCTCTCTCTCTCTTTTAAAAAGGTCTCAATTCTCTCTTTTTTGTTACCTTATTCAAAAGTCGTCTCCTCTCTGGGAACCTAAACTTTCTATTTATAGGCATTTTCTGAAACCCTAAATCTCAATTATTTATTTATTTATTTTAATAAAGGCTCCCTTATTTTTCGATGATTAGTAATCAGTTTTTTTTCTTTCTTATCTATTCTCCTAAAAATTTACAAACTACTTTAACTATTTTTAAATCTGATTTTAAATTTGAAAATTGAAAATTTGAATTTGAATATTAAATTAGCTCTTATCTATTTTCTTAACCTCTTACAAAATCAAATTCTTATATTTTAATTTTTTATTTTGAAATTTATTTGGAAAAAAACCTAGATAAAATTGGTTATTCATACTACTACTACTACTAATTAAAAATGTTTAAAAACAAAATAAATGCAACTTTTAATCCAGAAAAATTGTTAAGAAATTTTAAAAATAATTTTAGCTAAAGAATAATATTAAATTTTTTTTTTCATAACATTTATTTTTTTTAATTTTTACATATTTTAATAAATTTATTCTTTAATTTTAAATGTCAATTGAAAATTTTTGCTCAACTTTGTTGAGCATAAAAGGAAAAAGTTTCACTGTCAAAAATTAAATTGAATTCTTAACTATCTAATTTTATAATTTATTTAAATTATGAAGCTCTCTATATATTAATTTAGAAAATTACATGAAGTAAATTAATATTATACTAATTATTTAATTATTTAAATATATAATTTTATATATAGGATCAAATACAACTAATTTCTTCACTTGACTATACATATTTTAATTTGGCTTTGTGTAGAATTAATAAACTAAACTTTAGAGTCCTTTCTCTTTCAAATTTGTCCTAGTGTCCATAAAGGTGGGATTTGAAGTTTTTGATTAATTATATTTTATCTAGAAGTGTTTTATCCATGACTACCAATTTTAGAATAAAACACTAAATTTCTAATATTTTTAGAAAATTAAAGTGTGAACTTTTAACCTAATTTATTGAATTTGTAAATTTATTATAATAAGAATTCGATTAATTTGATGTGTGCTCAAGAAATGGTAAAAAAGAAAAGAAAAATTAAATTGGAGGATTACCAATTCAACCATACAAAAATTTAGAGTTACTGCACAAAGTTTAAGGAGAGATAAATTTAAATTCAAAAAGGTGGTGAAAATGTACTAATTTCATTATATATATATATATATATAGAGAGAGAGAGAGAGAAAGAGATTTGGAGACTTACACCTCTTATTAAGAGACTTCATAAAATATAAAATTAATCAATTTAATTGTTGGTTTGAAAGTTCTTATTTAACATAACAACTTTATAAAACATCTTACAAAAATAAAATTAATAGATACTTCAATGTATTACTTTATTTTAATAGGTATTATATTTTTAAAATATAAGTAAATATCAATTGATGGATAACATACACAATCATGATTAGAATATTAAAATGTGTAAGTGTTCAAGTTTGATACATGAAACTTTTAATAACTAATGGATCTAATAAAAAGAGTGATGTGAGAAGGCAGTTGTTGGTAACTAATTGCAACATGGAAAGAAAATATTTTACCTTGAACATGTGATATTTTTCAAACAAAATCATTCATATCAAAGATTGAAAAAAATGAATAGTTGTCATTAGAATCAA